CCACACAGACCCATTCTCTCACATGTGGACCTATCAGCTTTATCCTGCTTGATTTGAAGCTGCTAGAATTTTTGAGTATATATGCAGTGGACCCTCAGGTAACGGAATTAATCCATTCGAGAGAGCTTGCCTTTAACCGATTTGGACATTACTGAATTAATTTTCCCCCATAAGAAATAATGGAAATCCAGTTAATCCGTTCCAGACACCCAAAAGTATTAAATGAAATAATTTTTTTACATGAAATATATATTTCCCTACACAGAAAACAATGAGACATGCACAATAAACAATACTGAAATGACACTTACCTTTATTGTGGACTTATTGATGAGTGATGAAATGGAAGGAGGGGGCTTTATGGAGGTGTACTATTGTTTGGAAGGGGAATCCCCTCCCATAAAGACTTCAGGTAAGAAGTCCTTTTCTGGGGGTTACCTCCCTTCTTTGTTTTTTAATGCCACTAGGACCAGCTTGAGAGTCACTGGACCCCTGTTGCACAAAATGTCTGTCCAGAGAGCTCTGTTTCTGGTGTCTCTTTAAGATTTCCCTAAAATGGGACACAAAGAGTGTCATTGTACGTGTTACCAATATGGCATACAACAGCTGTGTCAGGATAATTTTCATCCATAAAGGTTTGCACTTCAACCCACTTTACACAAATGTCCTTAATCTTTGATGAAGGCAACTTCCTCAGTCTCTCTTCCTCCTCCTCCTCCTCCTCCTCTGAAGCACATTCCTGAGCTGTGATTTGTTGCTGTTGCACCTGAAGCTCTTTCAGCTCTGTAGTGGTTAGCTCTTCATCATCATCCTCCACTAACTCTTCCACATCCTTGCCACTAACCTCCAACCCCATGGATTTCCCCAATGCCACAGTAGATTCCACAACTGGCATAGGCTCCTCAGGGTTAGCCCCAAACCCTTCAGAATCCCTCTCTTGTACACATTCTGGCCACAATTTTCTCCAAGCAGAGTTCAAAGTCCTAGAACTCACTCCCTCCCAAGCCTTACCTATAAGGTTTATGCAACTGAGGATACTGAAGTGATCTTTCCAGAACTCTCTAAGGGTCAGTTCAGTGTCTGAGGTCACTTCAAAGCACTTTTGAAACACTGCTTTGGTGTACAGCTTTTTAAAGTTTGAAATGACCTGCTGGTCCATGGGCTGGAGGAGAAGAGTGGTATTAAGAGGCAAAAATTTCACTTTGATGAAGCTCAACTCCCCCACAATTTGCTCTTGCAAGTCGTGAGGATGAGCAGGAGCAGTGTCCATTACCAGGAGGCACTTGAGTGACAATTTATTTTCCAGGAGGCATTTTTTCACACTGGGGCTAAACACGTCTTAGAACCAGTCAAGGAAAATGTCCCTACTGACCCATGCCTTACTGTTTGCTCTCCACATCACACACAATTTAGTCTTGACGACATTGTTTTTCTTGAACACTGGGAGTTTCAGAGTGATACACTAGTAAAGGCTTCATTTTGTAATCCCCACTAGCATTACTACAAAACATGAGAGTTAGCCTGTCTTTCATAGGCTTGTGTCCTGGGAGTGCCTTTTCCTCCTATGTAATGTATGTCCTGTTTGGCATTTTCTTCCTAAACAGGCCTGTTTCATCACAATTGAACCCTTGTTGGTGTTTTAATTTTTCAGCCTCTATTTACCCCTTAAAGTCCTGCACATATTTTTCAGCTGCTTTTTTGTCAGAACTGGCAGCCTCACCATGCCTTATCACACTGTTTATGCCACTATGACTCTTAAATCTCTCAAACCAACCTTTGCTGGCCTTAAGTTCACTAGCAAAAATGCACCGCTATCCGATTTTGGCGTTAGCTGATGCCGCCGTTACCTGAGGGTCCACTGTACGTCAAACACATTGGCTCGTAAGACATATATATACGACCAAAACAGTCAAAGGGTTAAAGGAGGGGTTTAGGACTTTGGCAGTTTGGAGGGACGTTTAAACTGTCGTATCTGATCACTTCTGCAAAGACAGTGATTATGTATGAGTGATGGTGAAAGTGTTGAATGATGATGAAAGGTTTTTCTTTCTTTTTGGGTTTTTCTTTATTTTTGGATCACCCTGCCTTGGTGAGAAACAACCGATGTGTTAAAAAAAAATCATTTTTTTTAATACTCCCTTCTTGTGTACCATGTAGTGACCAATGCTGCACTGAGGTACTGGCTTTCCAGAGCTCTCTGGATTAAACAAGACTACCTGATAATGTTAAATGCTGAACAATTTACTGTACATGTCAAGCTTATACTAAGGAAGAAGACATAAAAATGTTCTTCACAACATAATAGAAGTGTAGCTTAAGGATGGTACAGTAGTGACTCATGAACATAATAACACAGTAACAGGTATAAACATTTTGGGAAGCACATTAGTATTAATCAATTTAAACTAATGCAAATAAAATATCAGTCAAAATAAATATATTCCAGGATTGCAAACATACTATCCTAGGATGGAGATGGATACACACTACAATCACCTGTTAAAGAATTTTACACAGTATACTGAAATTTCATAATGAATAAAGGTAACAGTTCAGCAGAGTGACTGGGATTCAGTCTCATGGTCTCGATTACTTACCATTTATCTTAGTCTTTACATACAGTAAACCCTACATATAATGAACTTTGGAAATATGGAAAACAATCCATAGGGTCAGTCAATTTGGAAACAGTGGACAAAATCCAGTGGTTTACAGCATTGTCCATTATTGTTACAATCATGACAAAACACTCTCTTGTTTATCCACCACAACTGTCATTACTGACCACACTATTTCCCCCTCTTCAATTAGTCCATTATATGGAGGGTTTTCAGCAGATTGATAAGTGACTCAGACCACCCAAAACTAATTACACAGTATTTAATTTAACTTTACCTACATAGTTAATAAATCACTTTCTACTGCCTCAGAATATCATTACTCACTGTGTTACTCCCCTAGCCTTAGGACCTCATAATTAAATGCTCACAGATCAATAAATTTCTCATATCTAACCTAATGCAAATATTGAATAACTTTTTTTTTTTCAACAAACCGGCTGTATCCCACCAAGGCAGGGTGGCCCAAAAAGAAAAACAAAAGTTTCTCTTTTTAAATTTAGTAATTTGTACAGGAGAAGGGGTTACTAGGCCCTTGCTCCCGGCATTTTAGTCACCTCTTACAACACGCATGGCTTATGGAGGAAGAATTCTGTTCCACTTTCCCATGGAGATAAGAGGAAATAAACAAGAACAAGAACTAGAAAGAAAATAGAAGAAAACCCAGAGGGGTGTGTATATATACGCGTGTACATGTATGTGTAGTGTGACCTAAGTATAAGCAGAAGTAGCAAGACGTACCTGAAATCTTGCATGTTTATGAGACAGAAAGAAGACACCAGCAATCCTACCATCATGTAAAACAATTACAGGTTTCTGTTTTACACTCACTTGGCAGGATGGTAGTACCTCCCTGGGCGCTGCTGTCTACCAACCTACAACCTAGGATTGAATAACTTTCTTTCAACACACCAAACGTATCCCACCGAAAAGGAAAAACAAAAGTTTCTCCTTTTACATTTAGTAATATTAGTAATATATACAGAAGAAAGGGTTACTAGCCCCTTGCTCCTGGCATTTTAGTCGCCTCTTACAACATGCATGGCTTACGGAGGAAGAATTCTGTTCCACTTCCCCATGGAGGTAAGAGGAAATAAACAAGAACAAGAACTAGTAAGAAAATAGAAGAAAACTCAGCGGGGTGTGTATATACTATATGCTTGTACATGTATATGTAGTGTGACCTAAGTGTAAGTAGAAGTAGCAAGACATACCTGAAATCTTGCATGTTTATGAGACAGACAAAAGACACCAGCAATCCTACCATCATGTAAAATAATTACAGGCTTTCATTTTACACTCACTTGGCAGGACGGTAGTACCTCCCTGGGCAGTTGCTGTCTACCAACCTACTACCTAGGATTGAATAACTTATATCTCATAAATGTATAACTCAGTTGTATAATTAGAGAAACCTTATCAAACTACATTTTTATAGCATTGCCTAATAGAATAATCTAGTTCTCTTGAATGCACTGTAACTCATCTAATGACCATATGAACTGTTACTGCACTGCGGATCATTGATTTGATTTGATTAGATCTGATTATTAAATTATATGACTACATATAGTAAACTGATCGTTTTGTTACATTACTAACTGATGTTACAAAATTGTAAAATTATAATGCTTCAAAATTGAAATTTTCAAATTTGTTGTTTAAAATAACTCAGTTGTACTTGATATTGTAAATTGTCTACAGTAACTGTTACCATTAAATCTATTATAGCTTAGATAGTCTTAAGTTAATTTAAGCCTGCCCATAATGCTCTGCATACGAGGGGCTTTCAACATGTTCCCCCAACTACTATAATACCTTGTACAACTATGTATCATGTCTTAATAAAATATTATTATATTATTATTATTATTATTATTATTATTATTATTATTATTATTATTATTATTAAGGGACAAGAGCTACAATTAGTCACTGGCTGCTTAATTTTTTAGATTTTTATTCATATTTTCATTTTTAAAAAACTAGTGAAATGTTAGAAGGCAGGATAATATTAAGAAAGCTTAAAATAGCTTTCATTTGATTGAAGTTAATACTTATATCGAAGACAATTATCTCTTTACTTTTGTTGAGCATTGTTTTGGTGAGTACAGTGTTTACATTGTTACTATGTTTTGTATATTATTACTGTATGTCAGAATGTGTGTAGATTCAGTTGTTAATAAAGCTTTAGAATTATTAGAAGCAAACTATGTAAATAGATATTCTTAAATGCAAGCAATTTTCAAATTTTACATTTCAACTCATTAGTAGGGAAAATTAATAAGTGTTGCAACATTAATATGCAACACAGGACTGGTGTCAGTTAACTGCTTGAGAAACAAATAGCAATTGTCTGTCTTAATAATTATGTAATTTCAGGTTTCCGAACAACAGACGTGTTCCAGTGAAGAAAGTTCATCAAGTGACACAATGTTTGAAGAATCTAGCGAGTCTGATACACACATAGATGAAGCTCCCCAATTACAGTCAGTCCACAAAGGTACCATAATTGTTTATATAGGTATGAAAGAATTAGCCAAAGTGAATTAAATTATTAGGAATTTGTTATTTAGGTACAATACAATATGCTGTGGAATATCTGAAGTAAGAAAAATGGTTTAGGGGTTTATTAATCTACCAAGAGAGAGAGAGAGAGAGAGAGAGTAAGTGAGTGTGAGTGAGTGAGTACTGTTGGGTATGTGTATTGGGATATATAATGTACTATACAGAAACAAGTGAGGGTTAGCTTTTCTTCTGACTTGTGTTCTCTTCCATGTGGCACTGAATGACCTTCATGGGCTCAGAGTTTTCCATTAGGTAGGTAGTAGGTTGGTAGACAGCAACCACCCAGGGAGGTACTACCATCCTGCCAAGTGAGTGTAAAATGAAAGCCTGTAGTTGTTTTACATGATGATAGGATTGCTGGTGCCCTTTGTCTGTCTCATAAATATGCAAGATTACAGATACGTCTTGCTACTTCTACTTACACTTAGGTCACACTAAACATACATGTAGATGTTTATTTATACACACTCATCTGAGTTTTCTTTGATTTTATCTTAATAGTTCTTGTTCTTATTACTTTTCCTTTTATATCCATGGGGAAGTGGAATAAGAATCTTTCCTCCGTAAGCCATGCGTGTTGTAAAAGTCAACTAAAATGCCGGGAACAATGGGCTAGTAACCCCTTTTCCTGTAATAATTACTAAAAAGAATAAGAAGAAGAAAATTGTCAAAGTGGGAAGTCTGAATGTGTGTGAATGTTGTGCGAAAGATAAGAAAGAGATGATTGTTATGAATGAGAAGAAGCTGGATGTCCTGGCTTTAAGTGAAACAAAGTTGAAGGGGGTGGGTGAGTTTCACTGGAAAGGAATAAATGGGATTAGGTCAGGGGTTTCAAATAGAGTTAGAGCTAAAGAAGGAGTAGCAATAATGTTGAAGGATAAGTTATGGCAGGAAAAGAGGGACTATAAATGTATTAATTCAAGGATTATGTTGAGTAAAATAAAGGTTGGATGTGAAAAGTGGGTTATAGTAAGTGTATATGCACCTGGGGAAGAGAGAAGTGTAGAGAGAGAGAGATATTGGGAAATGTTGAGTGAATGCATGGGGAGTTTTGAACCAAGTGTGAGAGTACTTGTGGTTGGGGATTTCAATGCTGAAGTGGGTAAATATGTTGTGGAGAGAGTAGTAGATAAATTTGGGGTGCCAGGGGTAAATGAAAATGGGGAGCCTTTAATTGAGCTATGTGTAGAAAGAGGTTGGTAATAAGTAATGCATATTTTATGAAAAAGATGATAAATAAATATACAAGGTATGATATAGCACGTAATGAAAGTAGTAGTTTGTTAGATTATGTATTGGTGGATAAACAGTTGATGGGTAGGCTCCAGGATGTACACATTTATAGAGGGGCAACTGATATATTGGATCATTATCTAGTTGTAGCTACAGTTAGAGTAAGAGGTAGATGGGACAAGAGGAAAATGGCAACAACAAGTAAGAGGGAGGTGAAAGTGTTATAAACTAAGGGAGGAGGAAGTTCGGGTGAGACATAAGCAACTATTGGCAGAAAGGTGGGCTGGTGCAAGTATGAGTAGTGGGGGGGTTGAAGAGGGTTGGAATAGTTTTAAAAATGCAGTATTAGAATGTGGGGCAGAAGTTTCTGGTTATAGGAGGGTGGGTGCAGAAGGAAAGAGAAGTGATTGGTGGAATGATGAAGTAAAGGGTGTGATTAAAGATAAAAAGGTAGCTTATGAGAGGTTTTTACAAAGCAGAAGTGTTATAAGAAGAGTAGAGTATATGGAGAGTTAAAGAAAGGTGAAGAGAATAGTGAGAGAGTGCAAAAGGAGAGCGGATGATAGAGTGGGAGAGGCACTGTCAAGGAATTTTTATGAAAATAAGAAAAAATTTTGGAGTGAGTTAAACAAGTTAAGAAAGCCTAGGGAACAAATGGATTTGTCAGTTAAAAACAAAGTAGGGGAGTTAGTAGATGGGGAGATCGAGGTATTGGGTAGATGGTGAGAATATTTTGAGGAACTTTTAAATGTTGAGGAAGAAAGGGATGCGGTAATTTCATGCACTGGCCATTGAGGTATACCATCTTTTAGGAGTGAAGAAGAGCAGGATGTGAGTGTGGGGGAGGTACATGAGGCATTATGTAGAATGAAAGGGGTAAACAGCTGAAACTGACAGGATCATGACAGAAATGTTAAAAGCATGGGGACATAGTGGTTGAGTGGTTGGTATTTTTGTTTAATAAATGTATGAAAGAGGGGAAGGTACCTAGGGAATGGCAGAGAGCGTGTATAGTCCCTTTATATAAAGGGAAGAGGGACAAAAGAGATTGTATAAATTATAGAGGAATAAGTTTACTGAGTATACCAGGAAAAGTGTACAGTAGGGTTATAATTGAAAGAATTAGAGGTAAGACAGAATGTAGGATTGCAGATGAGCAAGGAGGTTTTAGAGTGGGTAGGGGATATGTAGATCAAGTGTTTACATTGAAGCATATATGTGAACAGTATTTAGATAGAGGTAGGGAAGTTTTTATTGCATTTATGGATTGAGAAAAGGCATATGATAGAGTGGATAGAGGAGCAATGTGGCAGATGTTGCAAGTATATGGAATAGGTGGTAAGTTAATAAATGCTGTAAAGAGTTTTTATGAAGATAGTGAGGCTCAGGTTAGGGTGTGTAGAAGAGAGGGAGACTACTTCCCGGTAAAAGTAGGTCTTAGACAGGGATGTGTAATGTCACCATGGTTGTTTAATATATTTGTAGATGGGGTTGTAAAAGAAGTAAATGCTAGGTTGTTCAGGAGAGGGGTGGGATTAAATTATGGGAAATTAAATACAAAATGGGAAGTGACGCAATTACTTTTTGCTGATGATACTGTGCTTATGGGAGATTCTAAAGAAAAGTTGCAAAGATTAGCGGACAAATTTGGGAGTGTGTATAAAGGTAGAAAGTTGAAAGTGAAGATAGAAAAAAGTAAGGTGATAAGGGTATCAAATGATTTAGATAAAGAAAAATTGGATATCAAATTGGGGAGGAGTAGTATGGAAGAAGTGTACATTTTCAGATATTTGGGAGTGACGTGTCAGCGGATGTATTTATGAAGGATGAGGTTTAATCATAGAATTGATGAAGGAAAAAAGGTGGGTGGTGCATTGAGGTGTATGTGGAGGCAAAAAATGTATCTGTGGAGGTCAAGAAGGGAATGTATGAAAGTATAGTAGTGCCAACACTCTTACATGGGTGTGAAGCTTGGGTTGTAAATGCTGCAGCGAGGAGGCAGTTTTAGGCAGTGGAGATGTCCTGTCTAAGGGCAATGTGTGGTGTAAATATTATGCAGAAAATTCGGAGTGTGGAAATTAGGAGGTGTGGAGTTAATGAAAGTATTAGAGTGCTGAAAAGGGGTTGTTGAAGTGGTTTGGTCATTTAGAGAGAATGGACCAAAGTAGAATGACATGGAGAGCGAATAAATCTGTAGGGGAAGGAAGGCGGGGTAGGGGTCGTCCTCGAAAAGGTTGGAGGGAGGGGATAAAGGAGGTTTTGTGGGTGAGGGGTTTGGACTTCCAGCAAGCGTGCGTGTTAGATAGGAGTGAATGGAGACGAATGGTATTTGGGACCTGACGAGCTGTTGGAGTGTGAGCAGGGTAATATTTAGTGAAGGGATTCAGGGAAACCAGTTATTTTATATAGCTGGACTTGAGTCCTGGAAATGGGAAGTACATTGCCCTTTAAAGGAGGGGTTTAGGATATTGGCAGTTTGGGGGGATATGTTGTGTATCTTTATATGTATGTATATACTTCTAAATTGTTGTATTCTGAGCACCTCTGCAAAAACAGTGATTATGTGTGAGTGAGGTGAAAGTGTTGAATGATGATGAAAGTATTTTATTTTGGGGGATTTTCTCTGTTTTTTGGGTCACCCTGCCTCGGTGGGAGACGGCCGACTTGTTAAAAAAAAAAAATTGTCTAGCAATATTATGTGCTCCATGTGTATGTAATTAGTTATTGTAAAAGAACATTGTCTCTTAAGCATTGTGTTTCATGCATTTTCAGCTCCTGAAAACCTGGCCATTGAAGCTAAGAGCAGCAAAGACCTAGGAAGAAAAGGAGGTATAAGGAGCAGCATGGTATGAACTTCTGTTTACTTAAACTATTAATTTTATTGTAGTAATTACCGTTCAGTAGTACATCTTGATTTGAAAAAGCCATTTCTACATTAGGGACCCTGATGGGCCCATCTAGAATATGTCATGCCTCATTCATACTAGTGCTCATGTTGAGCCCTGGTATGGTCCATTATATCATTTATGCTTAGTATAGGCCTCCTTCACCAGATGAAATGCATCCCAAACCAAGGCTTGTAAAGTCAGGAACCAGGGTAGCAGGTGATACCATTGGATGTGCAGCCATTCAAGGTTGCACATTCAATAGCTAACCCCTGGTTATGAATGCAGGGCTTTGCTTTGATCCTACAAAAAGATTTTATTGCATTTCACGAAACACTAAACCTGTGTTGGTAATGTAGCTCAAGGGATAGTTGAAACTCAATCCTCCATCTGCAAACAGTGGCTGCTTGCAGTAAGAGATCCTCTACATACATATCTGGATCAGACTCTGTCATGAACAGTTCAAATTTTAAAGCACCTAGCATACAGCTGTGAGTTTCCTGTCTCAGTTCTATGATAGTTCAAATCTGTGCCTTTGTTTTGAAGTTGCCTCCCACACGATTTTGAGATACTGGTGATATATGAATAAATAAATGTTCACAGCTTGGTAACTTAATTCTAAAGCATTTATGTTTCATGTACTGTATATACTATACACTCTACATTTGATTTGTCAGATTTCATTGGCTAACCACAGTTCTCATCATTCACATATTTTCATATTTCCCAGTTATTGAGAAATGCTTTGATTAACAGAGTATTCATAGCAAGAGAGGTCAAGAGACTTGCTCTACCAGCAGTCCTAGGATAAGCAATAGCAGCAGCCAGGTAACTGGGAGTCAGCTGTCTTTAGCCGAGGCAAGCCTTGCTACTGATTCTGAAGGAGTTGTAGCTGTGGTTTCAAATAAATATAAGGTACAGTACTTTTATATAAACTTAATATCATTATGAACATACCCTAATATGTACATATTTTTCTTTTTAAGACATCGGCCATTTCCCACCAAGGGAGGGTGACCCAAAAAGAAAGAAAAAACTTTCATCGTCATTCAACACTTTCACCATCATTCATACGTAATCACCGTCTTTGCAGAGGCGCTCAGATAAAGCAGTTTAGATGTCCCTCCAAACAGCCAATATCCCAGATCCCTCCTTAAAGTGCAGGCATTGTACTTCCTACGTCCAAGACTCAAGTCCGGCTAACCAGTTTCCGTGAATCCCTTTACAAAATATTACCCTGCTCACACTCCAACAGCTTGTCAGGTCCCGAAAACCATTTGTCTCCCTTCACTCCTATCAAACACGCTAACACACGCTTGCTGGAAGTCCAAGCCCCTCACCCACAAAACCTCCTTTACCCCCTCCCTCCAACCTTTCCTAGGACAACCCCTACCCCACCTTCCTTCCTCTACAGATTTATACGCTCTCCAAGTCATTCTTTGTTCCATCCTCTCTAAATGACCAAACCACCTGACAACCCCTCTTCAGCCCTCTGACTAATACTTTTAGTAACTCCGCACCTCCTCCTAATTTCCACACTATAAAGTCTCTGCATAATATTTACACCACATATTGCCCTTAGTCATGACATCTCTGCCTCCAGCCAGGGCCAGCCTCAAGCCGATTGGACCAATTGCTCCCAGTTGGGCTCCGCGCCTAAGGGGAGCCCTGTGCTAGAGTGTAATCTACTCTCAGCTTGTCAAGTACAGTACACACAGAACAACACGAAGTAAAAAACAAGGGAGCATCTGGAGAAAGGAGTTTTTCTAAGCTGAAACTGATCAAAACTTACTTGAGATCATCAATTCAGCAAGAATGTTTGAACAGTTTGGTGATATTATCCATTGAATCTGAAATTAGCAGGAGTTTAAACTTCAACAAAATTCTGTAAGACTTTCCAGAGAAAAAGCAAGAAAAATAACTTTCTCCTAATAAAAGGCAATAATAATATGACTCAGTTTATGAATGTAAAGTGATTTTCAGAAGTCCAAAAAAGATAATTTGTTTCCAATAGTGCACTTGCATTCAGATTTTTTTTCTGAACAAAAATAAATTAATGTTTTTAATAAATAATTTCACAGACACTAAAGAAAGTGGTATTGTGACTGTGTACTTTTCAGAAGTGATATACAAATTTTATTTGTTACTTGTAGGCATACATGTATGCAATTTTATATTAAAATGTAGCTTACATCTGTTTGGTCTATTAACTTGCATGCATTTTTTAAGCACACAGTTTGATTGCTTTCCATACATGGAACCCACTAAAACTGTTCCCAATTGGGCCCCACACCACCAAAGACTGGCTCTGCCTCCAGCCTCTTCCTTGCTGTAGCATTTACAACCCATGCTTCTTATACATATAAGAGTGTTGGTACCACTGTACTCTAGTACATTCCCTTCTTTGCCTCCATGGATAATGCTTTTTGTGGACGTGTCAGCGGATGGGTCTATGAAAGATGAGGTGAATCATAGAATTGATGAGGGAAAAAGAGTGAGTGGTGCACTTAGGAGTCTGTGGAGACAAAGAACTTTGTCCTTGGAGGCAAAGAGGGGAATGTATGAGAGTATAGTTTTACCAACGCTCTTATATGGGTGTGAAGCGTGGGTGATGAATGTTGCAGCGAGGAGAAGGCTGGAGGCAGTGGAGATGTCATGTCTGAGGGCAATGTGTGGTGTGAATATAATGCAGAGAATTCGTAGTTTGGAAGTTAGGAGGAGGTGCGGGATTACCAAAACTGTTGTCCAGAGGGCTGAGGAAGGGTTGTTGAGGTGGTCGGACATGTAGAGAGAATGGAGCGAAACAGAATGACTTCAAGAGTGTATCAGTCTGTAGTGGAAGGAAGGCGGGGTAGGGGTCGGCCTAGGAAGGGTTGGAGGGAGGGGGTAAAGGAGGTTTTGTGTGCGAGGGGCTTGGACTTCCAGCAGGCATGCGTGAGCGTGTTTGATAGGAGTGAATGGAGACAAATGGTTTTTAATACTTGACGTGCTGTTGGAGTGTGAGCAAAGTAACATTTATGAAGGGATTCAGGGAAACCGGCAGGCCGGACTTGAGTCCTGGAGATGGGAAGTACAGTGCCTGCACTCTGAAGGAGGGGTGTTAATGTTGCAGTTTAAAAACTGTAGTGTAAAGCACCCTTCTGGCAAGACAGTGATGGAGTGAATGATGGTGAAAGTTTTTCTTTTTCGGGCCACCCTGCCTTGGTGGGAATCGGCCGGTGTGATAATAAAAAAAATAAATAATATCTCAAAGCACCATTCACTTTTTTTCCTTCGTCAATTTTATGGTTAACCTCATCCTTCATAAACCCATTGGCTGACAAGTCAACTCCCAAATATCTGAATGCATTCACTTCTTCCATACTCCCTCCCTCCAATGTGATATCCAATTTTTCTTTATCTAAATCATTTGCTACCCTCATCACCTTAATCTTATCTGCGTTTGCCTTCAATTTTCTTCCTTTACACACCCTCCCAAACTTGTCCATTAACATTTGCAGTTTTTCTTTAAAATCTCCCAAAAGCACAGGATCATCAGCAAAAAGTAACTGTGTCACCTTCCATTTTGTATTTGATTCCCCATAATTGAATCCCACCCCTCCCCAACACCCTAGCATTTACTTCTTTTACAGCCCCATCTAAAAATATGTTAACCATGGTGATATTACACATCCCTGTCTAAGGCCTACTTTTACTGGGAAGTAATCTTCCTCTCTCTCCTACACACCCTAACTCATTACCCTCATAAAAACTCTTTACAGCATTTAGCAACTCACTACCTATTCTACACACTTGCAACATCCTGCTAAATTGCTCCCCTACCCACACTATCATATGCTTTTTCTAAATCCACAAATTCAGTGGAAACTTCCCTGCCTTTATCTAAATACAGTGGTGCCTCGAGTTTTGAACAACTCCCAGCTCAAACGATTATGTAAGTGTATTTTTGTAATTGCTTTTGTAAGTGTATTTTTCGGGGTCTGAACCGGACTAATCTAATTTACGTTATTCCTTATGGGAACAAATTAATTTGCTATCGACACTCGAACAGCCTTCTGAAATGAATTAAGTTCATAACTCGAAATACCACTGTACTGTTCACATATATACTTCAATGTAAACATTTGATCTACACATCCCCTACCCATTCTAAAGCCTCATTTTTCATCTGCAATCCTGCTCTTTGTCTTACCTCTAAGTCTTTCAGTAATAACCCTACCATACACTTTACCTGGTATGCTCAGTAAACTTCTTTTGTTTTCTTCAACAAGTCAGCCGTCTCCCACTAAAGCAAGGTGACCCAAAAAGAAAGAAAATCCCCAAAAAGAAAATACTTTCATCATCATTCAACACTTTCACCTCACACATGATCACTGTCTTTGCAGAGGCGCTCAGATATGACAGTTTAGAAGTCCCACCAAACTGTCAATATCCCAAACCCCCCCTGCAAATTTTACAATCTCTTTTGTCCCCCTTCACTCTAAGTCTAAAGGAACTATACATGCTCTCTTCCAATCCCTAGGTACCCTCCTCTCTTTCATACAGTTATTGAACAAAAATATCAACCACTCCAACACTATACCCCCCCTTCCCTGCTTTTAACATTTCTGTCATGATCCCGTCAGTTCCAGCTGCTTTACCCCCCTTTCATTCTATGTAATGCCTCATGCACCTCCCCCACACTCACATCCTGTTCTTCTTCACTCTTAAAAGATGTTATTCCTCCCTGGTCAGTGCATGAAATTACTGCCTCCTCTTCATCAACATTTAAAAGTTCCTCAAAATATTCCCACCATCTTCCCAATACCTCCAACTCCCCTTTTACTAACTCCCCTACTCTGTTTTTAACTGACAAATCCATTCATTCCCTAGGCTTTTTTAACCTGTTTATCTCACTCCAAAATTTTTTCTTATTCTCAGTAAAATTTGTTGACAATGCCTTACCCACTCTATCACTTGCTCTCCTTATGCACTCTCACCACTCTCTTCACCATATACTCTGCCTTTCTTATATCACTTCTGCTTTGTAAAAAAAAACCTCTCATAAGCTACCCTTTTCTCTTTTATTGCACCCTTTACCTCATCATTCCACCAATCACTCCTCTTTCCTCCTGCACCCACCCTCCTATAGCCATAGACTTCTGCCCTGCATTCTGACACTGCATTTTTAAAACTATCCCACCCGTCTTCAACCCCCCCCTCCCCACACTACCTGTACTCGCACTAACCCACCTTTCTGCCATTATTGCTTATATCTCACCCTACCTAACTTCCTCCTTCCTTAGTTTATAAACTTTCACCTATCTCTTACTAGTTGTTGCCACTTTCCATTTGCCCCATCTACCCCTTATACTAGGGGTCGGCAAACTACAGCCCCTGGGTCGGATCCAGCCAACAGGGCCATAGCTCAAATGATGTTAAATATATGTCAAAGTGTAGTATGCATTATTATTACCTCTGTTTATTAACTATGGAGATAGGTGTGGCAAGCCATCTGCTCGCAGACATGGGCTCTGGCCCGTAGGCAGAACAAGGTTGCCGACCCCTGCCTTATGCTAACTGTAGCTACAACTGAATAATGATCCGATATATCTGTTGCCCCTCTATAAACATGCACATCCTGAAGTCTACCCATCAACCTTTTATCCACCAATACATAATTTAACAAACTACTTTCATTACTTGCTATATCATATCATGTATACAGTGGAACCCCAGTTATTGGCCGGTTTGGTTATCGGCCAAATCGGTAATCGGCGGGTTTTTCGGCGCCCGGTTATCGGCCATTCGCTCGGTTATCAGCTGTTTTGGATGCATCCATCTACCAGCTGAGGCAGCTTGTGCTTCAGTTTGGCTTTGTCTCTCGGTGGCTGAGGAAGCTTCTGCTCATACATCCAAACATTTTGCTTGTTTAC